TTCCTGTTATCCGATTGGTCAACTTTGTCTAAATGGCCTCAGTTACAATAGTCGCTCTGTAAAAAGCATTTTATGTATTTCCTTCGATGATTTCAGCATTCTATATTTTGGACGTTTCCCGTAAGGCACATACAGTGTGAATATGGTATTAAATTAATTATGCCCAGTAGAACCGACTGGAGGCAAACGGAGCCGAATGAGAAATTTAATTGCCCTTCAGAGATTAAACTGGCTGAGATTTTCAACTGCCTACCCTACCTAGCCCTACTCAACAAGGATTTTATACGGGGAGGATCCGCCCCGAGGTCCAAACCCTTACCCTTTTTTGTACCATTTTAGACAGAATGGTTACTTTTGAATACATATTAAATTCTGCAAACAGAATACTACAATGCTGATCGTACTACGTAAAAATATTTTCATATAGTATGATCAGCATTGCAGTATTCTGCTTGTAGAATCTAATCTCTACTTTTCATTTTTGCTGATCAGGTCTTTATAGATCCTTCGTTCTCCGGCGTATTCGTTTGCGGTCCTTTGCAGTCCTTTGTGGTTAATGTTTGTACTTTTGTATGCCTTCCATTTAAAACATAGAGCCTCTTTCACATACGTACTAACAGTAAGTCTTCTTTGGCATACCTAAATGACAAGTTACCAATCATAATCGATAACGTGCAGATTTAATCTGAACTTTACGATCGTGTTTTTTGTTTTATGGGAAAGATTTCAATCAAAACCGTATCACCTTTTTAGTTACCAGATCATGCTCGCCTGCTGGGCAAGTGACTGCGAGGATCGTCCCTCGTTCCAGACCCTGAGCGAGCAGTTATTCGATATGCAGAAGGAGGAACATCCTTATGTTAACGTGGATCCCTCTCAAGACTTTATTCTTCCACCGACTGCTGGTCAAGGTGAGATAAATAAGAGAAAAAACCCTTTGTGTTGGAGGAGAACGATTGTAAAATTCAAATGTTACAATCTTGCATTTAATTCAAATACTACAATCTTACATTCATAAGCAGTGTAATCATAAGGAATGTAACATTAGGTCAATAACAGCTTCTAGCTTCAATTTTTTCTCTGATAACTCTTAAAAAAAGCTTGGTGTACTTTATTTTCTATCCCCGGCCTTTTAGTGGCTTAGTATTTAGTAACCGAATTTTTATTTCAGATACTGTTGGAAATTTAATCGCTTTCAGTGACGGAACGTTTAGTGGAGAAACTGCTGATCAAGAGTTAGCTAAACCGGAGGCGCTTCCCAGCCAAATGGTAGGTAATTTTGTTATCCAATGCAATCTCGTCCCACGTAAGGATTCTGGAATTCCGGAATCCGTGAAATTTTTGCTTGTGGAATGCAGAGACCCGGAAATTTTTCTTGTAGAATCAGGAATCCTGGGCTTTGGAATCCGGAATACCTTTCAAGGAAACCGGAATCCAAGTTCTACTGACGAGGAATCCGGAATCCAGTACCTAGATTGCAGAATCCAACACCTGACTTCCGGAATCCACAGCGTGGATTCCAGAATCCAAGACTGTCTTGGATTCCCTTACATGAGGCGAAGAATAGAATGACACACCTTGTTCTTGTGTGTTAAAAGTGGCTACTTAGCAAATCGACCACAATTTTCCATGGTTTACACTCTTATAGACCATGGAAATAACGTGATAAAATGTTCAAAAGTCAAGTGGAACCACCAGCCGCAGGCGAGTGGTTTCACTGCAAAGTTTTGAACATTTTATGGCGTCATTTCTATGGTCTATAAGAGTGTACACCACGGAAAATTGTGGTCGATTTGTTTTTTACAATAATATTTTTTTTTTTTTACGAAAAACCAAAAAATAAACAACCGGCACTGCGTGACAAGTTACGTCATTTCCGTGGTCTATACTCCCATAGAGCATAGCTCTCGACCAATCAGCGCGCGAGGATTCGCTCAGTTATTGCAAAAACATACACTAAACCCTAGTAAAATCATTCATTTTCAGCTGGTTCCTTTAAATTATTTGTGTCTTTGATGGGGCTAAGGGTCGGCGAGCGAGGGTGGAAGCGAATCGATTGACTCATAACAGTGTGTAAATTATGTCAAAATCAGGTAGAAAATTTTACAAATTTTGAGATCTTGAATTTTAACCCCTTAAAAATTACGTTACTTTTCTCAAGCAGAATTCTCCTAAAATATCCCTTCCTTCAAGTGACGCAGAGAATGCTGGGTACGAAAGTTCTGTAGAGAATCTGTCGGAAGCATGCGTAGAAGCAGCTGAGGAGGAGATCATTCAATTTTCTCCGCCAAGAGATCCTCCAGTAGATATTGGGGAAAAAGTTGAACATATGGTTTAAAATGTATTTAACAGTAGATCTCTCCAAATTTGTGAGTGTACCGATGGTAGAAAGTCCGGTTTATTTGTAGGAATTAAATGGAGTGTTTGGCGTGAGCTAACATTGGAATGAACCAAATAAGTGATAATCTGTAAGACAGAGTTTAATAGTAAATGATTTCTCATATGTAAATATATGAATCGCCATGAAATTAGGGGGAAAATGCGGAAAGTTTTCTCGTAAAGCGAGCAAGTCCTGCGGCGATTGACGCAGTTCCATCATATTCATTAAGGACATTTGACTTAATTTATAAAGTAATCGAAGAGAAAAAACTTCCGATCTTTTTTTAATTATTATTATTATATTATTATCGTTATTATTATTATTATTGTTGTTGTTGTTGTTGTTATTGTTGTTTCTACGTTCTAGAACCATGGAACAAATAACGATAATTCATGTTCTCAAAATATGGTACAAATTAACGTTTTTATTTTACAACGTTGACACATTTTTAGCTAAAGCTGACACATCTATGCCGCTCTCCAGTTGTATAGAATGAATAATTAGTAATACAATTATCCCGATTTAATGATTTTAAAAAGATTTTAAGGTGACCCGATTGAAAGTTGAGAGAGTTTTTTTCCTCTTCAAGAGAAAAGAACCGTAAATCAGTCAAAGAATCCTTGTATAGCGACTCCTTTTATACCGATTTATTGATTTATACAAATTTTAAGGTGACTGATTGAAACTACATAGGGAGTTTTGTCCTTGTTTAAAGAAAAAAGAACCATAAACTTGTCAAAGTATCTCATGTACGTTTGTCGCTATGATTTTTTGCCACGCTCATAAACGGTTTAACAAAGAAGTTTGACAAACATGTCGGGCTCCATCGTTTATATACGAGCGGTAGTTCCCTGGAGGAATTGCCTAAAATTTGTGCTGGATTTTCTCTAGCAAACGTTGAAGCTACATTGTACAGAATAGTTCACAGTACTACCAGATACGGCTAAGGACGCTATTCAATACCTGCCAGTCTTGGGGGGTAATGGGTTGGGTGGGCTATCACGTGATAGAGACGGCAAGGTTCGCTGAAACGCGTAGCGGTGTAGTCTCCTTCGCAGCCGTTATTAGGGTCGTCACTCGTCACGCAACGCTCCTCCCTGAGTGACACCCTAATAACGGCTGCGAAGGAGACTAGTAGCGGCGTAAATTGCAGATTGTGGTCCTGATTTTTGGGGTTTAAGGTCAGCAAGGTAATTTTGTTATTTATGCAGATATTGCTAAGGGGTGTTTATAAACAAATACACAAAATGGAAAATTTGACGCCGTCGTCCTGGGTTGAATTTAACTACAACATCTTTCGCGCTATTTTGTACTATAGCTCTTAATTGGCTCTAGTAACTGGTTGCCTGTTTTACATACACTAGGTAAGGTCCCTTTTAGGGGTCAAATAAAGCCTTGGCTCTCCCAGATTGATCAGCTCCATTAGAAGTTAAGTTCTAATTTTTCGATGACCATCCCCAAAACTTTCATACGGGAGTCAACCATCCACCCACCCAACCACAGGAGTCATGGGTTACACATTTAATTGGCACATTTCATTCATGGACTAAAGGTTTTCCAGAAGCAACTTGCATTACCATCGTAATGATAATGTAACATTATCAGTGCTTGAATTCGATAGTAGAAGGGTTCCAGATCAATAATAGCTAAGCTTTTGTATCTAACATTTAAAACAACTCAGGTAAACTATTTAGGATTTGATTTTTCATTTTTTTTTTATTTATTGGAAAATTTGCATTTCTGCATGAAGAAACTACAGTGTGAGATTGTTGAAAAATAATTTAGTCATTAATACAGAATAAAAAACACTCCAAGAGTTATCACATCCTACAAAGTTTGTCTTTTGGTTTGTAATAGCCCACGTTCGATATATTAAAAAACTAACATGACTCCGAGGCTTTAGGGACAACATTGCAAATTTTTCACGACTCCATTGTCTCGCAATTCCCAGAAGAGACCTGAGCACAAAGAAAACCAAACCAAGTATAGAAAAATGACAAGAAAGCCTCGGAGTCATGTTAGAATTTAAATCTATCGGACGTGGGCTATTCTCAACCTTGTCCCCCGGGTTTTTCCCCGGGAAAATCCGGGGTGCGCCCCTCCCAGTTTGTTAGGGAAAATCCCTGGAGATGAGGCTGTTTAATTCTCTATTCGCCATTTGCACATCTCCCATAATACACCCTGTCCCCCCCCAACCCAAGAAAAAAAACGTTTTATATGACCTTTGTTTATGATTTCTCCTGGGTGATTCATTGGCAGTTGTCCCAGGAGAAATTGAAGACAATGATCATGCAAAGTTTTGAGGGGGGGCGGGGGGGCGGGCAGGGCAAACGAGGTGCACTATGGGGGATGTGCAAATGGCGAATTCTCTCATTTCAACTTACCAGATTGTACGAGCTCTATGAATTGGTAATAGTTGTAATTGATTTTTTTTTACTTGCATGGCCATAAAAACTGATTTACAGTATTGGTCTTTTGGTTCTAAAAGCAGTAACAGTCATTCGCGATATATAATTTATCACAAGTGTATGTACAAAGCCTAGAAATCCGCTCTTTTGATGCCCCGATCACACGTGTCCTCATTGTTTTCATTGAAAACACTCACTTTGCCGACTTCTCACGGATTTCTTTCTGGCGAAAGGACGAATTAAGGTACCAAAATTTCCTCAAAAATATTTATATCTCGGCGAAGGTTAACACTCACAAAACAAAGCTATTTTCATCATTTCATGGTTGTCATTCTGGAGCTTTCTCTATGGAAAAAAAACTATTTGGAAAAAGCCAGAATTATGGGGACATTTTGATATGATCAAAAGGAAAAACTATTTTGAATTATTTGTTAAAAATGTGAGGGTGAATTGACGCAAATGTTACGAAAAATTTGTTTCCGTAAGGCATTTTTATCGCTAAAAATAACTGAAAACTCGAATATCATTTGGCATTACCTAATTATGTTATGATAGATATCAAATCTGCGATTGTTATAAAGTATATGTTTAATGTTTGACGTCATTCGTGTTCTTGTATTATTCTTCTTGATTGGTCAGAGAGTTAACTTGAGTATCTTACTGTAAAAGGAATATTAATTTTAGTGCGGTAACACGCAAAGTTTAACTCGGATCCTACCCAAGTGCATAAATCCCGCTGCAAAAAAAATTGCATTTACCACATCAAAGGTAACAAAGGTTGGCTGGTTAGCTCTTCAGCTTTGAAAGAGCAATTGTTTGTAAAGTGGTTCCGTTCAACCCTTGACTTTTCCCTTTTTTGTTTTCTTCTAATCGCAATATATAAGCGCAGCGTGGGAACAGTTTAATAATATCAGTGAAGAATTCTGAATTGATCAACACTGGACGTTTGAAGAGCAGCTGAAAACTAAGTAAATCTTCTTGGAAAATATTTTTGCTGCTCTTGTTATGAAGTGTTTTAATGCAGTCGAATGGATGGCATTTAACTAAAGTCGGTGTTCCTACTGTCTTACGTAACTACCGATTTCTAATTGCAGTTTAAATATCGACCACTTCTTGACAAGGCTAAAGAAACATTATTTCTAATTTTTGTAGTTTTCACAGAAAACTTGGGTTCCCGACCAGAACATGATTTTTAAATACGGATTGGGTAATAAAGATTTGTAATTATGGTAATGGAAAGAACAACTTGTCGAAATTTTAATTCCGGTTTGGCTTTCCATGCACCTGAAAACCTAAAGATTCAATTGAAATGCAGTTATGTGTTGATGATTGTTTTAAAGCGGGAAACAGCCTGGCTTGTTTCGACAGCCGAGAATTTTATCAAACTAATGAAATGTGATTCCAAATGATCAAAACATTTTTAAAAAATTCGATTTCTAATTGGGATCATGACAGTTGCATAAGTACTTTGGCCATTCACGCTGCGAAAAATTATGCGGGTTTACTCGTAGGAGTTAACTTTGATGAGAAAAAATCATGGAAAATAGATAATGTTATGTTATGCTGTGCAATTAAGATTTTATTGAACATGCAAGAAATACCATTAAAACAGGTCACATTAAAGGTCGATTATTACACACAAGTAAACTGACAAAATAATCTTATGATTTGAAAAGATAAAAGTAAATTAAGTTTATCACAAAATCAGTTTCTTTTTTTTTCAGATTCAAATTCTCAATAAGCTATAATTTTGAATAAAAAATCTAAGGTATCCCCAAGAGAGA